ACTGTAATCATATCTGTGTTGTTGTGACCATTGGATGGCATCGAAGCGTGAATTGGATTCATTGAAAACACAACTAAAGGACGCCATGAAAGACGATAAACGCACGCCGAAGAAGACTCAACACTTGGATCAGTCCATCAAAAGTGAGTCCAATTACAAGAGTTTCTGTTGTCACGTGATATTGACGGTGTGAATGGTTTGTTTGTCCGCCACTATAGGCACAGAGAAGGGTCGGCCGAGATCTCGGTCGCGCTCCCGGAGCCGAACCCCAACCCGAAAGTCGGCCTCAAAGACGGTTACGCCGCGCGTAAAGCCAAAGAGTGGTAAGAAGACGGCGTCGGCCAAAAAACAGACCCCAAAGTCACAGACAAAGCCGAAGACCCCGAAGGCGTCCACCTCTGAGCTGAAGAAGAAGACGCCGACGAAACGCAAATTGGATGCCAACGACACCTCAGCGACCAAACGGCCGAAGCCGTCGACGTCGGCCCTCAAAGAGACGGCCAGAACTCCGGGCACTCGGCGTTCGCTCCGTTTGGCGCAATCGCCGCGCTCTGAGGCGAAGCACCGGAACGCCGGCTCCCGAAACGTGTCCTTCGACGCCAACACTACTCGCGGATCAAATTCGGGCGATAATCAAAGTAAAGGATGGCTTTCCTACTGTTCTATCATGTAATCCATGGATTAGACACTTATTATTGATAATAATATTAATATTAGACACGAATTGTGTGTTGTGTTTGCATTTAAGATAAATTACAAAAAGACTAATATTTATCTCAATTCTCTCTATTTTATCATATTTTATACAATTTAATCATTTTCTTCGTCTGTCTTATCATTCATTATATATTACATTGATTTCGATGTCGACAATAGATAACAGCAAACAATACAACCGATCATTACTTCACTAACTTTTTAATTACTGTTTTAACGCTTTGTTTCATTACTTTTTAATTTAATATCGAAACTAATATAATATAAAAGTTATGAAAATAACTGTAAGAATACTCTGAATCGCTAGACGACAGCACAAAGTGTCTAACGATTGGTTTTTGTGTGTGTTTTTTGTAGAGAAAACGATTTTTGTAGTAATTTTATGTAAGTTTTTAATTTTAATCATTTATATATTTTTCTCGTTTTTTATGTGTTTACAAAATTACAAACAAATTCTCAATTAATTTAATGAAATTACAATGAATTACACAAATTGTATGACATTTTTGAAGTGAAAGCACTGATTGGTCTCATAATTAGTAGTCGAAAGACTGCCCCAAAAAACGAGTGACAAAATTGTATTACATTTTAATTTTTTATACACAAAATGATTGTTACAAATAATTTAATTATTAATTTAATGATAAACTAATTGATTGATTGTTTACCGAATAGTATTAATGCAAAAAGTATTGTAAAGTTGTTGTGGCGATGAGAAGCGGGTCGGGCGGGGATGGGCTACTGTCCCCTCTGACCACTGCCCGGTCCGCTCCCGAGCCATATATACTAATGTTTAGTGCAAATTGAGAGTAACTTAACGATTAAAGACAGAAATTGTATTAAAATATATATACAAATAATGAGCACAACTTATATACGAGTATTAAATTAAAAATAATATAATTTTCTACAGAGTATTCAGAAATCGATTTCTCAGGTGAAGGCCTTAATTGTTGTTCACAATTGTTCACGAATTCATACCAAATAAATACAAAAACCGATAATACATAACATAAGCCATACCTAAACATTACATAACATTAATATTATTGTCTCATCCATTAGTTATAATATAATCATTCATTTTTCTCATACATTTGTTTTGTGTCATGTATTTTCAGTATTCAAAATACATAATTAAAAATAAACATATATTTATACGAATTGTACACTTTATTAACATTATATTAATAATCGTATAATAAAACGAAACCCAAACTACCATTTATATTAGGTTTATAAGTTTATATATAATTCAATGATTATTATATATTTGCCATTAAATATCAGTTTATATACGATTGTAATACATATTAATTTATTTTAAATATGTATTTGTATTAGAATTGAGTTTAAGCTTTAAGTTAATTTAAACATGATTTTTGATTTTAGATTATTTTAAAATCAGTTTTAATTTTACCTCAAAATTATCTAATTATATAATAATTATATTGTTTTTGTTTGACTTTAAGAAAAAATAAATGAAGTTTTTTTTGTGAATTTTATAGAATTATTTCATTTGATTGAATATCTAATAAATAAGAAGTTTATAAATCATATATGAAAATAAATATCACAATTATATTCACTACAGAATCCATTAAAAAATTGTCACAATTGCTAATTTTGATATAAATGTTATTGCATTATAAATAGATGGCAATCAATACATTGTAAGAATAATTGATTGTCATTTATAATGTTTGTTATATTACTTTTAATTAATAGTAATTGTCATACAATATGATAATTAAAAAATATATTAGTATTTTATTGTTATTGAATGCAATTCAATGAAATGAATTGATGTTTGAATGTATTTTAAGTATAGTTTTATAGGATTTCTATTAAAATGAAAGCCATGAAGACATTTATGAAAACTTATAGCTATTAAACCTATGGATGCGTAAAAATTCAATAGTAATTAATTATTATATAAAATATAATGAAATATTATGTAAATTTTAACAGCATTTTACTATTGAATTGATTTTAAGCACAAAATTGATTTTAAAATTACATTTTTGTTTTGACAGAACTATTTGGTGTAATTTTAATCAATTTTCAGATTTAGTAAATGGCATTCAGTTTTATAGCTATTTGTTACCGATATTTACGGTGAAACACGTTTTACTTTTATAAATCATTTTGAAATTTGCACTTTTTTCGCAAATAAAATATTAACTCAACTCCTAATGGCTCTCAGAATTGAGTTTGAAAAACAAAAAATAGTCTATTCTTTGAGAAAAACAAAAATATTTTATATTCTTTGCATATATTGACAGATATTTAAAGCCATTTCAAAATAGTATTGTTCACTTTTAGCATATTCTTTATTTCATAGCCAGAATATTCTGGTGCTTTGAAATCATGATAAATATTGCATTATGTAATACAGTGTGTGATATTTTGCAATATACCGTTAGGACTGTGTCGACAGTTATTAGATAATTGAATAAATATTTAATAAATATAAATTTATTTTGCTTTAATATTTATCACACATAACAGGCACCGATCGCCCGGTGCTATGCAATAATGAGGTAATTACTAGTTGTTAGACAATTGCGCTGAAAAATTGTTAAACATTTGCATCAGTCATGAAATGATGAAATGTATTGGAAATGTTGGGAAACGAGCGGTAAATCTATTATTGATTGAATCAAAAGTCAATATTAAAGACAACACATTCTCATTAGAAGTCTCCGCACATTATGTCAAATGTTTAATACAAATAATCGCATGATTTGATCGTCAAAATCCTTCAAAAAGGTTATCTCCAATCGATTTGATTAGACTTTTATGTCTCTCTCTTCTTACACTTTCTCATCTCTCTGTCTCTCAACTAAACTCTACTCGACTTCAAAGTAAAGGTTTTGATGAATTGAATGCAATGTAAAAAACAAAAGCACATGAATTAACGCTTAATCCTCTCAAAACCTATCTTCACGTGTAAAAAACAATTTTTGCGTTTAAGTCATGTATCCCTTGTATGAAAATGACTAAAACATCATTAATTATGATAAGAACTTACTGTAAAACATAGTAAAGTAATAGCATTTCTTATTACAGCTGCCCTTTAATTGAGAAATAAAACATTTTGTTTTATTATTTTGAAATCTGCACAAAGGATACTGTGTTTCAGTGATAAAGCATTTGAATTCATTATTTTTTGTTAATTAATAAATAAAATACAAAACTTTCGCTTAAAATCAATAAGAAGTGAACGCATAGTAAAGAGTGAATTGTATATAAAATAATGGCATTTAAGAGATGGTTTGCTGTTATGATTATAAGTAAACTAATTGTCAATTGTATGGCCACAACGGATGTGCTGTCAAGTGTTTTTGGTGGTGATATCGGGACGAGTCTGGGGTCGAGTTCGGCGCTGCAAACGGCGCTACAAATGCAAAGTTCGGTCAACTTTTCGTGTCTCGATTTAATCAACTATTGGTCTCAACTCTTCAACGAGATGTTAGTTAATCCGTTAGCCATTGCCCGACAGTCGGCCGTATTTGGGGCCGACATGAGGACGCTATACATGTCTTTGGTTTCGTTATTCAATTTCATTCAAACAATGCTCAACGACTTGAGGAGTCAATTGTCGGGCACCGAGTGTTTGGCCGAATCGTACGGCTTCTGTCAAATGGTGGACAATAATCTGCTCAATCCGTTGCCTAATAAGGATCTGTTGAATCATATGGTAAATCAACTCAATTTTTTCTTCGGATCCAATTATGGATTTAATCCTCTCTATGCTCTCTGGAATACCGGTTATCTCACCTATAAGTGTATGTGTCGGACGTGTTAATTGACTTTACCTGTAGGGCTATAATTGGCTTTTTGTGTCACTTTGTTTTCTATGAGATTGATTTTTATATTCTCTCTCTCTCTCTCTCTCTCTCTGTTTTTACTTTAATTTTTAATGAATTACTATTTTTCTGGCGTTAATTTATTCTGTAATAATATCAATAGAAATTCTCATAAATAATGAATTTAATTATTTTTTGTTTGTGTTTTAATTGGAAGAATATTTTAAATCTGTGTCAATATTTTGTTTGGGTTTTTATTCTGAAAACATTTTTTATTATTGTATTTATTTTGAGATATTTCTCTATCGAATTTATTTAAACATTTTGTTTTAATATAAAATTTTAGATACAAAAGCAGTGCTCTTATGTATAACTTATGTTTTTTTGTTTGTAAATATTATTTATAATTTCAGGCGTCAGATGTATTTTTAAAAAATAAAACAGAAAATACTAAATTCAAAAACGAGTTGTTTATTTTAAAAGTTTACAAAAAAATATCTAGACTTGAAAATTGAAAATATTATGATTAAATGTATATATGTTTTGACGCCAATGCCTGTGCGCCAGAGTACCGATACTCTACTCATGTCTACAATGATATACACAACACATACATGTATAGTGTATTCAACGAGAATATTACAGCTATTTCTCACTGGATTCTGCAAAAACACAGCAAAACACTGTTATTCTCGTATCTGATATACTAGTAATCGGATACTAGTTTTGCATCACTTTCTAGTAGTCGTCAAACTCACGAATTTCACTGAATATATAATATATGTGAATGTAGTATAAGTTTCACATACTTTTACCTAATCATTGTTTGCAACTTATATTTCGCCTCAAATTATCAATACTTGTTTTCCGGTAAACAAGAGTTGAGAATATTTTCTATTGTGTTTTACGTCTGATATAACAACTTATATCGTATAAGAAAAGAGTGGCCAGAATTTTCATCTAAAAATCTTCATATATTTGTATCAAACTTGTGCCACAAGTATGTCGGCCCGCCCTCTGACCAGCGAACCCGACGATTACGACGACGTCGAGGAAACGGTAATTACAATCATCTGTTTATTTCATGATTCAATCCTTTTAAAAATTTATATCAAGAATATTCTGTGTATTCTTTGGGTAATAAGAAAAAGTTTTTACCGATAGCTTTGCTTAAGAACATCGTTAAGAGTCTTAACGTTAATATGCATTGAATGCTATCCATTGAAGCGAGTGTTTCAGTGTTTCTCTTATTCATGTTTACACTACAAGTGAATACAGTATTTGCAGAAAAACAAGGGCTAAAGTGATGGGACGGAGAGAGAGAGACTCCCTGTCCTTCTGGCACTTTATTCTTGTATTTATTGATTTTTG